ACCTCCCTTATCTTTCGTCATGATAGTAAACAGAGGAAAGTAGAAAAAAGCAAAGAAATCGAAGAAAGGTTCGGATGAAAATTTTTTTCAAACTACGAATCCTTAGAAGTATAAACGGGAACAAATATAACCGCAGTAAATTAAAGAAGAAAGTGAACAGTTACCTGGTGAATCAAATCGAGACGTGGGGTGGTGGAGAAACAGCGCAGTTAATAACCGCAGCTTTATATCACGTCCAGCCTCGAAAATTGGGATTAAAATTATTCAAAATATATTAATCCTTACCGTTTATTTAGCCAAACGAAATCTGGACCGTAGAATTAAGGTCACGCGAATCTTCGAGTATATTGTAAAGAAATCATTATCTCGAGGAACAAGAGGTCAGGCGGTTACGCTGTAGCTTCCGAGAAAAGAGATCTTATCTCGAAAGCTGGGGGCAACTGTTGGGCCCGAATTTAGCCCGTTAGCTGAGTTAATGGGCTGAATAGTTGAGGTCATTTACGGGACATTATAAGCCCATTAGGAAGCCGTTCCTCAAACAAGAATCAAATGAAGTCGTTACCTATTAATAAAAACAGGTCACGGATGAAAGGCTCGGGACCTCATTTACAAACAGCTAACGAGAAACAGCTCAAGGAGAACGTGCGAGACTTAGTCAAGAGGAAGCTGTTGCAAATCCCGCAACTCATGGAGATAATCTCGGAGACTTTGCTGGGAGAATTTGGACGTGACCTAGAGCTATTTAAAGAAGAGAGGAGATCAGAGATAGGTGATTCGATTCATTCAACACAAAAAGACTCTAATACATTTTCGTTCTTAGCCATCTCTATTAATCATTGTTATTTCGATTAGATCATCAAGATCATCCTTGTAAACTCTTTTTATCATCAAAATCAATATAAACAAGCGTATTCATTCGTACAAGTTCCAACAGGATTCAGCCCACGATTATCTTTTCCCAATCTAAACCTAACCTAAACTAGAGAGTGAGTTTTACCCCTCACACTCTTCGTTAATCCAAGCCTCGAAGGAACCCATAAGTTAGTTCGAGGGATCTCAGCAGCACGCACGGCCTCCCAATACCTCTCGGTCTCCTCGTTATCCGTGGTAAAAAATTGACGGATGGGCACATTCCGAAATTCCCCGTTCAGTAGACATGCTTAACAAATAAGTATAGAAAGATTCAAAGAGAGAAAGAAACAGAGAAAAATGTTCTCTACCTTAAGAAAAATTATGTGGAAATAAGTGAGTAAAAAATTTGAAAACTTACTCCACATATTTATAAGCAATATTCTACTATTCACCTTCGGACTTTTGGTCGTTGAAGTTCCACCTAATTCTTCCAAAATTGCCAAATAAGTTCAAACCGCTCGCAAGAACTCTACGATTCTTACGGGCTGGGGGGCTAACTGTTGGGGTCAAAATCGGTTACGACGGAATCAACGATCAAAACTTTCCGTAAAGTTAAGAATATGTTTATAAGAGTACGAAAGCGTCGAGAAGAATTCTCAGGACTTTCGGAACAAAGGAATTCCGTAAACTTAACAATCGTCATCTTAGAAATCCTAGAATAATCGAATAAAACAATCCACGATTGTCCGATTGGCCAAATTAGCAAAAAACAGCGGTAACACCAGACGGCGAGCTGGCCGTCCCAAACCAGCTCGCCAGACGGCGTGCTGGCCATCCCAAACCAGCTCGCCGGCTGGCGAGCTGGTCGTCCAAAACCAGTTCGTTGTCTTGGCGAGCTGAACCGTCCCGTTCACGTTGCCAGACCGGCAAGCTGACCATCTTGAGCCTTACTCTCCACATTGCCCGAACACAAGTCATACGTCCCTCGACCTGATCGTACTCTGAACCATGACCGGAACATCTCTCGTTTGTCTCGATCCGTCTTATCGTTGGAGTTTTACGATAAAAAACATAAAAGACTTGTTTTCTCATAAAAAACTCGAGTAAATCGTATAAAACGGCAACGGTTAGACGAAACACCAAAGATTTCCAAACTATATGATTAACTCGAGATGTTTCATTAAAACGACATCGTATCACGGAACGATCTCGTCTAAAGTCGTAAAATGCCAAAGGCGGAAAACGGTCCGAAAGATCCTAAAACGCTGTAAAGGCCCATATGTGACTTTACACGAAGTCCAGCCCAGAGATACAATGACGGTTTATCAATTTATGTGCAGGAATAAGATAAATGTCAAGTTTGGAGAAAAAATGGAAGTTTTCCAAGATAAAATGGAGAATCGAGAGAAATGGAAGATTTTCGAAAAACAAGAACCAAGGCGGAAAACGAAAGACTAAACCGCCTAGAACAGGAGTATATAAGCACAAGGTTGAGGACAAGAAGAAGGACGGAATTTTCAGAGCTCTCATCACACAGAAAAACTTAGCATTTAGGCAACTTTCCGTTTTTGTTATCGAGCTGTGTCGGAACAAGGCTTTACCTCGTTGTACCGTTCTTACGCAAAATCGGAACAAGAAACCTCTTTGCTCTCTTTTCAATTCTCATATTGTTTTTACTGTCTCTCTCTCATATTCTGATTGCTTGGCGTGTGGTTTAACAGATATCCGGGACCTCTGGGAAATTAGGGTTTTCCCTAAGTTCCTTAATTTACAGAAATCGACAGTGTGAATTCCGCTTCCCACACTGTGTCTTGAAAGAGTTTTCATCTTCTTTCATACATGAATTTGTTGCTTCTCTTGTGTCATTTGTGCTGCTGTCTCAATCTCTCTCAATGTTCTTAAAATTATCAAGAACCATGTGGTTTTACACACTTTACCTTTGCTTGGACTGGGACGGAGTTAAGAAAGAACTTATAGAGTATAACGTTAGCGTTCTTGCAAAACCCAAAGCAACCTTTTCACGAGGAAGCTGTCTTAAAAGTTGTATGTAACTTCCTCTTAGTTGTAGATCCTTCTCTATATAAAAATATGACAAGGTTCATGATGAACGAAAGACAAGTATACACTCTAGAGTCTAAGACAGTGTTCTTACTAATAAGATGAACTTTCCACTTCTGCTTATGTGGAATACTTTGTGTTATTAGTTATCCACAACAGATTCCAAGCCATCCCCTCAAGTCATGGAACCCAAAAGGGGGGGGGGGGTAAACATTTGGAAATGACAAGATTTACTAATGCAGGGTTTAATGTCCTTAAGAAAATGTTGTTTCTCATCATACATGAATCTGGTGCTTCTTGTGTTTCACTGGAGCAGCTGCCTCAATACTAGCTTTTTCAACTCATATAATTGGATCAAGAGTACTATGTTACTGAGTTATTCAAGAAATATGTTGTTTTACACACTGAACCTGAATTAATGGCAGAAACTGAATGAATTTGCACTCCACTAGATACTGGTTAAAGAACCATGACTTAGACCATGATTAACTCCAGTTTCTTAATTGGGGTTTTTAGCTTCGGTTAAAAATTGGTTCTTAGTTTTTGTTAGATTTTAACTAAGAAAAACTAAAAACCGTCTCTTAAATAAGAGATATAAGAGGCGTCTCGTAGCCGAAAAATATAAAAAAAAAATTCCAACCATGAGTTAAGAATCCCGGCTAAAAAATCGAAGTTAATCATGCTTTATATATGAATGCAGTAAAAGATAAGACATCCAAATCCTCCTGGTTATGTGTCGAAACCGGATATCGTCTGAGTAGAATTGAGGATTGAGTAATGAGAAGAAGAGATGCCTAAGTAACCATCTATGTGGCAGTAGGTTCTCAAAACATTGAGAATCTGTTTAGAAATCATGATAAGTCTGAGAATTTTCATAATATGAGATCAGTTTTCGCCGATGTTCATCCACAACTCGAATCAAAAATAGAAAAATAAAAAAAAAACAATCAAAAAAAATTTGGACCATTTCTCGATTTGTGCGTATCATCCTTGCGCAGGGACCATGCTAATCTTCTCTGTATCGTTCCAATTTTATCGGATGTCCCCGAAGGGACAATCTTGTTTGTGACTCGAATCAAAAATAGAAAAATTAAAAAAACCAATCAAAAAAAATTTGGACCATTTCTCGATTTGTGCGTGTCATCCTTGCGCAGGGGCCATGCTAATCTTCTCTGTATCGTTCCAATTTTATCGGATGTCCCCGAAGGGACAATCATGCTTGTGACTCCGGAATTATATAAACAGTTAACTTCCTTCCATGCTTACCGATGTGGGAGGAGGAAAGAAAGGATTTATTCATGTGAGCCGGCGGATAGCGAACAAGTGGATATTTAAAATAATCATATCTCTAATGCCTCTCTTTTGTACACGTCCCCATTTTTCTTCTTTCAAACGTACTCGTAACAAAAGTTTACAAGAGCAGATGATCAAAGCATCCAAAAGAGCAGAAGATTATTAGTTTAGAAATAGATATGCTTTTCTTTAAAAAAAAAAAAAGAAATAGATATGCTTGAGAGAGGAACTGAAGAATCATAGTATTTATAAATACATGTTGTAATCGAGTGTACGTGAATGGAAGAGACAACATACAGACTTCTAGTCTTCTATGGCGATAGCATGAGATCGTTTGATACTTTTGTACTTCGTTCTAATTCATTCAATAGAGGAGAACTTGCATTCAGTTCTGAGTTTACAAGGGCGTTCCTATCAATGATCATAACATTTACACACTGACCTCGCTCAGATGGAGAGAGACAAAGCCAGGAGCAGTTTACAGAGTTGGTGACCAAGTTCAAAATGTAACCAAAGAAAGTAAACTCTAGAATCTATAGTGTTTTGAGTAAGATGACATATATTATCCACTTCTGCTGCTTCTGTAAGGTGATTCACGTGTTACTCCAACCGCACCAAGCCATGGTCTGCATAGCAAGATATTCGAGGCTGTCAAGCATAACAAAACTCAGACATAAGCTCGGTTAAGCTTCAAGAACTTTGGTTTTCTTTTTAACACCATAATCTACCTAATATTTCTCTCTTAGTTTCTTCTTTACTTAGCCTATCACCAACTTGAACCATCTACAGATCAATACCTGGTCTACGCTTTACGTCTGAGCCGTAGTTTGACCTCCTTGAAGTGAATTGCTGCTACTAGGCCTATCATTTCCACCATACCTCTGTCAAAAACAAACATCACAATATATGTTCAAGATTGCAGTCCAAAATGGAACACAAAACACACAGCAGCAAGTATTTGAAACTGTAAACAAGAACCATTGAGTAGCTTTGTTACCTTCTTTCTAAAATCGAAAGGAAGGTATCTGTACTTGATCATGTGCACGATTTGTCGTTTCATGGTGAGAAAATAGAGAAACAACCAGTAGCAGAGCAAGATGGGCCAGAACACAGGCACATCCAAGAAGGAGAAGAAGGTCATCACAAACGCTACAACAAAAGCTTTAGTAGCTGCGTACCTGATGAAGAAGGTCATACTATTTATATGTGTTTCAATTAGTATTAGGTCGTTTTAATTGTTCTTGTCAAATTATAAATAACGTTTCTTAAGCATATACATATTAGATATTTTGTGATTCTTAGATAAAACCTAAATCAGATTATCAACAACAAGCAAAGATCTACCAGAACTTGAACTCAGGAAGACGACGAACAAAAGGCTTAAACTCATCAGAATCTTTACTGGACTCAGAAGAAGCAGAAGCAGAAGCAGGATCCAAGGCTTCGAGCTCTGGATCGACTTTGGGAGAGAGGAAGCCGATCAAGAGGTTTAAGATGTACGTCGCGAGACCATAGGAGACGACGAAGAATCCGTAAGCGTAGTAAACTCTGTAGATGTAGATCACGGCGGCGATTAAAGTCACTATCCATCTTCGAACGAGGTGTGGAGCCGATCTGTCGAGGTGGTTCTGAAACGATTTCGAGAATTCGATTCGCCATCGAGCAAGCGGTGAATCGCTCATCGTGTGTCCGTCTCCTTCGTTTCCTGATTCGTCCTCCATGCTAATTCAATCACTGGTTAAGATCACAATGATTCGTCTTCTTATACTCGTTCTAAGTTGTTTGCTTCTTTTCTGGGAAAGAAAGGAAACTGAATGACGTGGAGAAGTATACCAGACACGTGTCGCGTTTTGTGGTCATCTCCGGGAAAATAAAAGGCTTTATACTTTTGTTCATGCTGTTGGGCTTCGTTAGCTTTCTTTAAGCCCACTTTACATTCTTAAACCAACAGGAAATAGGCTTTTGCATCCCACCACATATAAATTACAAAATGAGATTGTACAGAGTTGCGGTGAGAAATGTGATTTTCAAGTTTCGCAGGAAAACATATCTTGCCATTTTGAAGAAAAATACAATTTTACAATGTTTTGACAATAAAGAATGGGAACTAAATATCTTAATAACTGAAACAAAAACAATCTTAAACACTATTTCTAGTGAAACATAAGGAGTACTATCTGGTTGATCCAAAAACAAAGAATACTATCTAGGACTATTCTCTTAATAGACATTAAAATGAATATTTCTACTACAAATGAACATAGAAAAAAATGACTAAAACACATTTTATTAAGTTTAATAAAATATTTTTCTACCCTTATATTATAAATCTATATAACAATTAAATAAATAATATACTAATAATAATAATTTTATTATTTTCCGAATTATACATTTTTACTTTGATTTTTTCGAAATTATATTAAAAATACTAAAATTTATTTTGAAATCCAAATTTGAATTATTCTTTTTGAAACTATTTTTTTTTAAATATATTAATTTATTTATTTTTAAATCATAAATCACAATACATATATGATCTCAAAGAAACTCTTCAATCATGGCCGCTGGTGTGGAACCAAAGCAAGTTTTGGCCATCAATAGTAACCCTATGTTGGTTGGAGGTGAGCTGCTACGCCATGTTAAGCTTTTTAATATATAATCTCGATCAAGCTTTCTATAGTTTTTTCTACTATGTTTTACAAATTTTCTGAGCATTAAAAAACGGCCAGTATACAATGTTGATGATTCATAGTTATAAGTTGGGTTAAACTATAGTTTAAATAATCTCTCTTTTTTTTTAGTTTAAATAGTATCATACAATCAACTACATTAGAGAATGTTGATGTTTCCTTGTTCTGTATTATATATAGATAGGTTCTGCTGATTAATAAATTATGATCTCTGTTGTATGTAAATACAAGGTTGGGTCTCTATCCATACTACCTTAGGCACTCATATCTACTAGACAAGCAGTAGTGAATCTAGAAAATATAATGAAAAAGGGCAAAAACAGTAAAAACAGTATATGGTTGTTTGAGCCTTGGTTTAGTGGGTGAAAATAAAAAGTTTTAATCACTAAACGGTAAGATATATATATAAATTCTGGTGTTTAATTTTAGTTGTACTTTTTACTGAGGGCTGCTGCACCCTTCTTCTTTCGCCTAGATTTGCCAATGATGACAAAGAATGGCGCAAGCAGTGCTTACTTGCAGAAGTAAGCACTCTGATTTTTTATTAAGAAGAAACAACATGCTGTTTTAAACTGTCACTTCTTCCTACTGCTAATATATTGAAATGTTAGGGTTTGTGAGAGTAATGAAAGACCAATGCCATGACTATGGATAAAGAGCTACTTTTTATGATTCATTTGAGACCCCTGTTGATGCCAGTAACACTGGAAAGGAAGAAATAGATAGAGAGGAGGGGAGTTATGCCAAAAAGACACACAAAGACTAGACAGTTCAGTGGGCACCCGTACTGTTATGTTGTATTACAGGCTTTTTTAGTTTTCCTATTACATGTTCTGGTTTTTATATTTTTATGTGTATTTCACATTTTAACCAGACTCTACACTCTCAAGTTAATAAATTTTAACTAAACTATGCATTCTTAAGTTAATAAATTTATTTTCGAGTCTTGCCTATTCCTTACTTTTTGGTATAATGACGCATGAACAATCAATTGGCCTTGATTTTTCATATATGTGTTGCTCTCATTACATAACTCGATGCCAAAGTTAAATGTCCACATGATCTAACATTTAATAGTATATTATTTGCTTGATACATTTGGATCGTCTTTGTTCCGTTTTGTTCATATTATAACACTACTAACATGACCCATATAAACCTGAAACTTATCATAAAATAACACATCAATTACGTTCCAGTATAGCAAGAAGAAGAAAGACGTCAACGGTTACTAAGATTAATTTTAAATCGACAGTCCACAAAATGCACTCACAAATCTCCACCGAAGTCACCCTAATTGGTAGTACTCTCAGTGGGATTTTTTTCTCTCTAAAAGGCAACTTCCGGTGATAATATTTCTTTTTTTTTAATTATTTCCCTTACCATGAGTGGATCCAATTACCGGTCTTGGCTACGGTAATCCCATTAAGAGAATAAGATTTTATTTTACTTTTCTCATTTCTCCTTTCCTTTCTTGGCTCCAAGATTTTGCTTTCTCTCCAATTATTTCCTTATTGAGAGTAGAAGATTGATCTTCTTTCCAATTATAATGATGCCATTAAGAATATGTGTTCAATTCTGCTCAATTAAGGATAAATTTTCTCTGATTTGCTCTGACCTACTTCCAAAGAACAACGGCGTCTTGCAACTTCAGTCGCATCGTCTTCTCTTGTTATCAGCGAGTATGGCTGACTCTCTGCATCAAAGTCTCAAATAAATGTTCCTTGGTGAAGAAGAAGAGCCAGTTACTCTCCCAGATAGTCTAAGGTTCAGATTTTTTTATGAGAACTCCATTAACTTATTGGGAAGACTGTTGAATCCTGAGTGTCAACCGATGGAAAATATGATGGAATACATGCCAACGGTTTGGCGTGTGGAGGGTAGAGTTAGAGGTTTAGCTTTGTTGAGAGACATATTTCAATTCAAATTATGTTGAGCGTGAGGAGGACCTCCAGATTGTACTAAAAGGTAGACCCTAGTCTTACAACCATTGGGGTACGGTTCTTGAAAGATGGACTATGGAGCCACCACCATATTTTATGTGCTATATGGATATTTGGATTCGTATCAGAAACCTCCCTTTAGAGGTTTTTACAGGAGGTACTATGCATGCTCTGGCTTCTGAAATAGGTAAAATTGTGGAGATTGCTTATGATCCCAAGGTTTCCCATACGGAAGAGTATATACAGGCTCTAGTAACTTTTGATACTGAGAAACTGGCTAAAGCTTCACGTAAGCTTGTTGTCAAGAAAGAGAAAATCGTCACTATTGAATTTTAATATGAAAGGATCCATAAACGATGCTTCCATCGTCTCAGACTTACCAATGAGAAGTTTAGATTTTCTTTACTGAGGAAAGGTCCAAAACCGGTGAAACCTAATGTCACATCCTCTTCCAATAATGAGAATTCCCAAACGAATAATATACCGATCATTGGTGTTACCGCTATTATTCAAAGACCTCCTGAATTTCCTCTTTTGTTCCTTGAGCTCCCTCCTAACGAGCGTAAAGCGGCTCTCTTATACATTTCTCACTCAAATGATACGGATAGGCAAGCGAGAATTATGAGAATTAGACAGGCTATTAAAGATCAATGGCGGTCTCATGTTGCTACGTTAACAAGATTCACTTTGAAGCTTGACAAAAGAAAGGGTCATGTCTACTCTTACCCTGATCCAGACCATACAGAGCCAGTCTCTTGGCGTCCTAAACCGTCAGCATCTCTTCCGCTAATGAAAGATATGGGTTCTCAAGATGGCTACTCTGACTCAGAATGTTCTGGAACCGCAGAAAGCTTAGCGCCAGTGATCACTATGGGTTTTCAGATTGGATTATCCTCTATGAATTCACCTGCGGTGATTGCAAGGGTACTAAGGCTGCTTGTCATCGTCCCCCTTCTTGGAAACGAAAAGCACATGCTAAGAAAACGGTCGCTAAAAGTATATCTTCCTCCAAGCTTGCTCAACCACTGTTGGAATCTGGTGGTAACGTAAGCCGGATATGGTATTCATGTCCCCCTCTAAGAAACTCTTGGCTCCATCATCTAATCTGATGGCTTTCAGCTTGAAGCCGCTGCTCCCCCAATGAGTGTTTGGAGCTGGAATTGCCAAGGTGCAGGAAGCATTGAGGCAATCAAATCATCGGAGAAGTTCGTCGCAATTTCTTTCTGGATATCATGATCTTGATGGAGACTAAAAAAAAGTTAGAGTACATGTCAGAGTTACAAAAAAATTTGGGTTATGATAAAAAATTTATCGTTGAGCCTCGAGGTCAAAGTGGAGGTCTGGCGATTTTCTGGAAGGATAGTTTGAACATAAAGATTTTTTCTGGAGATAAAAAAATAATTGATATGAAGGTGATCTGTAGGTCGTTTTCTTTTTTCTCTTATGTGTTTATGGTGATCCAGTGAGAGCTAAAAGACATGAAAATATGGAAAGATTGATGGAGATTGGATTTAGAAGAGATGAAGCTTGGTTATTAACAGGTGATTTAAACGATCTAATCTCGAATGATGATAAGCTGGGAGGTGCGGTACAAGAGGAGGCTACGTTTTGGCGTTCCAGAAATATGGCTCGTAGCTGTAAACTTTGAGAATTATGAAGATCTTGTAATGTTCTTTCTTGGAGTGGTTGGCGTGATGGAGTATGGGTTCAGTGTCGACTGGACTGAGGCTTTGGTACTGATGAGTGGTTTAACTTGTTTCCAAGATCAAGTGTTGTTTATGGAGGTATGTGGGGATCAGATCATAGGCATTTACTTATCGGATTTATGCTAGAAAAGCGAGAAATTAATAGAGGGATATTCTACCTTGATAACATGATGTTTTCGAAGCCTAGGTTTAAGGAAGCGATTATTCAGGGCTGGGGCGAGGACGGAGATCAGACATGCCTTACGGTTTGTATTGAAAATTGCAGGAAGGAAATCTCGAGATGGAAAAAATCCTCTGATATGAATTCTCATGAAAGGGTCTTACGCCTTAAAGCTTCTTATGAGATGGAAGTGTCGAAACTCAACCCCTCTTGTGTGATTATGAGAAGCTTAAAACAGAAACTTTCTGAAGCATACAGGGACAAGGAGAGGTTTTGGAGACAAAAATGTAGAGAAGAGTGGCTGAGAGAAGGTGATCATAACACCAAATATTTTCACAATGTTGTTAAAGGTCGGAAAGTGAAAAACATAATCCTTATGCTATTGGATGAATGTGGGAATGAGCATTTCTCACAAGGTTCTAAGGGGGAGATAGCAGTTGAGTATTTTAGGAAATTGTTTCTCAGTACTAACCCCTATGATCTGGATTCGCTCTTCACTAATTTTCCTAATCGTGTCACAGAGGAAATGAATGTTGGCCATAGCACCAGTTACTGTGGAGGAAATCAGAAAATCAGCGATGAGTATTAAGGGAGGTAGCGCACAGGGGAAAGATGGTCTGACGGGTTCTTTCTATCATAAGTATGGAAAATTGTTGGCCCAGATTAAAAAAAATTCTGTAGTTCTTTGAGTCGGAAGTGGTCCCAGAAGGCTGGAATCACACTCAGCTGAACTTAATACCAAAATTTTCTCAACTGACACGTATGCATGATATGAGGCCTATAAGTCTGTGTGCGGTGCAATATAAATTATTTCCAAAATCTTATGCAACCGTCTGAAACATATCCTCCCTTCGGTGGTATCTGAGACACATGGTGCTTTTGTAACAGGCCGGTTAATCTATGATAATATAATCATTGCTCATGAGATGGTGCATTCTCTGAGGACGAATGATAAAGTGTCGGAGGAGTTTATGGCCATAAAAACTGATATGTTCAAGGCTTATGACTGTGTCGAATGGTATTTCTTGGAAACATTGCTGGAAAGGTTGGGCTTTGATCGAGTGTGGGTGCAATGGATTATTGCATGTGTGAACTCGGTATTTTATTCTGTTTTGCTGAATGGAAGTTGCCATGGATTTATTAAACCTCAGCGTGGACTTAAGCAAGGAGACCCATTATCTCCCTTTTTGTTTATATTGTGCGTAGAGACTTTGGTAAATTGTCTCAATAATGCTGCGACAACAGAGAAACTCCACGGTATTCAGATCGGGACGTTGGGACCCTCGGTACACCACCTGTTGTTTGATGGCGACAACCTTCTACTATGCAAAGCCATTCGAGAGAAGCGGTTGAGATCTTGAATTGTCTGAAATTGTATGGTGATGCTTCTAGCCAACTAATAAATCTACAAAAATCATCTATCATATTTGGGTCTAAGTTCACGCAGGTTGTGCAAAAATGAAGTGAAAGGCGTTAGGCATTGATTCAGAAGGTGGTGATGGTACTTATCTTGGACTTCCAGAGTGTTTTAGTGGTTCCAAGAGACAACTGCTGGATTTTTATGTGGTAATCTGCATGGCCATTTGAATGGTTGGTTTGCGAAATCGCTGTCACAGGGGAGTAAAGAAATATTGATCAAACCGATATGTTTGGCTCTACCGATCTATGCTCTGACATGCTTCCGTCTTCCTAAGGATACTTGTTCCCGTTTAAGGAGTGCTATGATAGAATTCTAGTGGAGCAGTGGGAACAATAGGAAGAAGATTGCTTGGGTTGCTTGGAAAAATCTGTGTAAGGAGGATTAGGATTTGAGGATTTGGAGAAGTTCAATCAATCTCTATTGGCTAAGCAAGCGGCTAGATTGATGAATAATCCTGATTTTCTGCTAGCACAAGTGCTAAAGCAATGCTACTTTAAAAATTCCTCCTTCCTAGAGAGTGGTGTAGGTGTCAGGCCCTCCTTTACTTGGTGGAGTATCCTTCATGGGCGTGAGCTACTCCAACAGGGGCTGATGATAAAGATTGGAAATGGGTCATATACAAAAGTGTGGTTGGATTGATGGATTTTGGACTCTGTCCCAAGGGTTCCAGATTACCGGCAAGGATCTATAGTAGACTTGGTGCTGAAAGTGGAAGACTTGTTTGATCACCATTCTAGGGGAATAGAATATAGCTCTTGTCTATGACACTTTTGTGCAAAAAATGCTGAGTTAATGCTAAAAATGAAACCAAGCTTCTCTCATCCAGATAAAGTGGTATGGGTCTGACAAAAAAAATGGATTCCATTCCTCAAAGAGTGAATATGGTTTGATAAATACCTTAGAGGAAATGTCTACCCCTCCTGCTAGGCTGATGCCCCCAGTGGAGAAACAGATTTGGACGTCCTTATGGAAAACGAAAACTACACCTAAGCTTCGACACTTTCTTTGGCGCATTCTCTCAGGAGCCTGGCTGTCAAGGAAAGGCTACGGTCTAGAGGTATTCATTTGGATATGACATGTTCATCATGTCTTGATGTTCCTGAAGACATTGGTCATGTTCTTTTCCACTGCCGGTTTGCACATGAAGTATGAGCTTTGTCCTCTGTTCCAATGCCTCCATCAGGATCCTGCTCTCGTTCTGTTTTCTTGAATCTTCATCATTTGATAGCTTGCAGTAAGAAGAAAAATGTACCCCGAAGACTGGCAAGATATTTCTCTAGATCCTATTGCATATATGGAAGGCTAGAAACTGCTTTTTCTGAGTACACGAGGTTAGATCCAGCGGTGATCGTGAATAAGCTACTATGGAAGCATAAATATGGAGAGAATTAGAGACTGGGAGCCAAGAGACACTTATGCATGCGTTTTCCTCAACTAGGATCCCCCAACTATGGTTAAAACCTCCCCAAAGTTGGATTAAATGCAATATTGGATCGGCTACATTCAATTTTTTATCAAGTGTTAAAAAAAAAAATCTCCACCGGAAAAAGTTCACATTGAATTTAATAAATTCGGACATCAGTTACATTCAATTTGTTATTATTTTGTTAGCATTAGAACCATATAATTAACAATACATATATATGATTTATAAATAATCTTTATAGTAAACGGTAGATAAAACAGTTATGATTTTCTGTTTTTTTATTTAGCCTAAATTTTGGTGATCAAAAAAGAAAAAATTTGTGGAATTTATTAGTTTCAAATTTTTATCGATGTGATTTTGAAGAAACATAAAAAACCCAACTTAAATCTATTTTGATATAATAATACATAAATATATAATCTAACATGTTATTTATAAATATTAAACAGTAACAATTAATATCATATTTTTATGCTACTTCCTTTTTTCTTAAAAAAAATTAGATTAGCTTTTCATTTTCAAATTAAATTATAAAATTTAAGAAGAAATTTATTACAAAACTATTAAATTCAAAAAATGAAATATTATGAACAAAGTAAATAGTTATATTTAATGAATTTTTTTTAATATATTAGATAAATCATTTCTATATAAAAAAAAAAGAAATGGTAAACTTTGTAGTAAAAATAGTGAAAATTATAATTAAAAGTAAACTAAAATTTTCATTAAAATTTAAAATATATTTGTATTATTTTGTTCATTTTTCTGTCTGATCCTACTAATTTCATAAATTTAGATTAGTTAATTCTATTATAATAAAACATTTTGGTATTTGATATTCAAGATGAAAAGTTTAAAACTTTGTTAGTGTCATCTTAGATAATTTCTTTACTGTTTAAAAACTCGAAATAGTTGCACATTTTTAGGAATCCAATAAATGAATACTATGAGTCAAACTTATAACTTGACGTCTTCAAAGTCTATGCCATAGATGATCATAAATTGCGTTGGACAAATTTCAAAAGTAATAGGTTTCCTTAAGTATATGGTAATCATAATTTTCTTATCTTAGGAAATAAGAAACTGTAAGAAACAAAATTAGTGAGAAGGAAAGCGCCTAATTCTCAGGACACGCGTCATATACAGATTTGTGAGTCGAATGCTTTTGGCAACATCAATGTCGTTCTTTTTCAGTATCGAATTAAAAATCACAAAAAGGTTAATAATAAAACAACGTCCGTTCGATTCCTCCTTCTTTTAAATTCAACGTACCAGATTCATCGTAAGATTGACGATGAACAACAACCAAGAAATTGGTGACGTCACCGTCTCCTTCCTCTAACGTCCATAAAGAAGCCCCACACTCACATCAAAACTGTACTGTAACTGCTCATCTCTACACAGGCGAAAGAAAAAGAAGTTACGCAACGGAATCTTTCTTTCGGTTTCGCCATTGAAGCTTGAAACTGCATATGTAAGATCATCTTCTCCTCTTCTTTTTGATTCGGTATCCATGGATTAGTCATTTCTGCTTATCTTCTTCTGTTAATGGTGCTTCATTATCGTCCCTGCCTGATGAATCGGAGTGATTCCACTGATCTTTTCTTGTTTTATTCTTCGTTTTGATTGTTCGTCGCATCATGTTCTTAGAGTAGGAGGTGATTTAGAGTGGTGTTGATTTGTATTCACATGAAATTGAAGCGTTTCTGCGATATCTCTTATGCTTTCGTGTGTTAAGAAGATTGTTCATTAGACGCTATAGTGTTTGCTTAGAAGTTAGAACGATGATTATCGTAGATTGATATGATGATTTTAGAAATTTGAAACGCGATGTGGAAGGATCTTTATTGTACAAATTGTTCATTAGTGAGGAATGATTTTGAGTTTAGTATGCTTGAATGACTCTTATATATAGCGCTTATGGTTTTTCTTTGAGTTGTATTGAACAGTTCGACATGGCTGATAACAAGGACGAAGTAATCCCCAAGAGCTCTGCTTCTTTCCCTCTGAGGAACCCTAATGTTACTCTTAACGAGAGGAATTTCGCAGCCTTCACACACAGATCAGCTGCTGCTCATCCTTGGCACGACTTGGAGATTGGTACGTTAAGCTTGTAATTGATGAAGTGGCGTTTATCCATTGTCTTTTCTGCAATCAGATTTTTGCTTGGATGGCTTTCTTTCATGAATGTTTGTTTGTTTGAATCTTGTAGGTCCGGAAGCTCCTGCTGTTTTCAATTGTGTAAGCTTTATCTCTTTTTGCAATGTGGAAGACTAGATCATTTGACAGTTAAAACGAGATTTGGTTTGTTTATCAGGTTGTTGAAATTAGCAAAGGTGGGAAGGTGAAGTACGAACTAGACAAGAACAGTGGCCTTATTAAGGTACCTAATGGAGTGTTGATAGATCTTCTGATCCCTTGTATTCTTACTTGCTGGATGTGCACTGTCTATATAGGATCACTGAATGTTGTTTTTCCTCTCTAGGTTGACCGTGTTCTCTACTCATCCATTGTGTACCCACACAACTACGGCTTCATTCCTCGAACCATTTGTGAAGACAGTGATCCTATAGATGTCCTGGTACTCATGCAGGTGCTTTCTCTCGCCTTTCCTTATTTTCAACTGTTCATGCAAACAGACAATTAAATAACTAACTTGAGATGATTGGTAACTATTACGCAGGAGCCTGTGCTAACTGGGTCGTTCCTTCGTGCCCGTGCTATTGGTTTAATGCCCATGATTGATCAGGTAACAATCCTCTAAACCCATACATTCTATTCTATCTTCTCCTTCTCTATGATGTATGGCATTAGTAAGAAACCATGAGTCACCTTGCAGGGTGAAAAAGACGACAAGATCATTGCAGTATGTGCTGACGATCCGGAGTTCCGTCACTACACAGACATCAAAGAGCTTCCTCCTCACCGTCTAGCTGAGATCCGCCGCTTCTTCGAGGACTGTATCCTTAAAACAACATCACATATTGCATTTGTTTTCAGTTTTCACTATGGGTTGTTTTGTCTTGGCTTATGCTTTGTCACTTAACACATTACTTTGTAGACAAGAAGAACGAGAACAAGAAAGTTGCTGTGGAAGGTTTCCTCCCAGCTCAAGCTGCCATAGACGCAATTAAGGACTCCATGTAAGTTTTGTTTTCTTCAAAACACCTAATGTACTGTTACGTTTACGCTGTTATCATAATTACAATGTATGGTTTTGAAAACGCAGGGATCTTTACGCAGCTTACATCAAAGCTGGCCTGCAACGTTGATCAACAAATCCCGGTCAAGCTCGTTCCTCCCGGTTTGCTTCGATTTCACTACCACTGAGGCCTTCTTATACTACATTGCATGTTAAACTTGGTACATTTTTGCAATGTACATCGAAAAACTTTGTCGAATTGGAAGCTTTCTGATGATGATGATTGAGTTTTCCAATTTTAGACAATATATATTTGGAGATTCTGATTAGCTCTCTCCCTTTTTTATATGCTGTTTTGCAAACATCCCAAGAAGTTAACTTCCTAACTAGACAAGTGATTTTGACCAAACAGAATCTGCCAAACCAACAATTAGGAATCCAGTTCCAATTCGGTTATTAATTCAAATCAGTTAAGCAGATTAAAAAACAAAAGTTGGTTTCTCGACAGTTGGTTAGTTTCTGTTTTCTAATTATTTTTAAAAAATTTACCCAAATCAATACTAATCCTAACCAAGATTTATACCCAAAATAATCAGATTATCCATTTTAACTAAATTTAACCAAAATCTATCCACAACCAAAATCTAGTGTTAATTTTGACAGACTTTTTTATATAACACGTTAATGAAAAAAAACAATTCTTGCCCAGTTTGACAAGATTTTTGTTCTAACCAAACCAAACCTTGAATGCTGAAAAAGGAACTAAGCTACTAGGAGCTTCTTCTTAGTCTACCACAAGACTTGTTCACACTATTAAAACAGAGGACGACTATTTCAGTCCATGAATGTTGTGATTAATAGACAAAATAGAAACAATCATAGAATTCCAGATATTAGTTCGTTTCCCAAAATTTTGTTTGATGGTGTTTTGCAAAACATTCAAAAGAGTGACTTTGTTGGGCATCGTAGTAGACCAAAAGACTAAGCTACTCGGGCCTTCTTCTTCTTGCCCTTTGTCTTCTTGTAGTTCTTATGCCAAGTTTTATAAGTGCCCTTGGTCTTCTTAGAGGTCTTGGTCTCAGGCTCTGCAATTTCATCTTCTGCTGCATCATCATCATCATCTTCATCCTCATCTTTGTCTCCTCCTATATCAAACAGATCATCCTCTTCCTCTTCATCAGAAAACACAAAATCCTCCACAACATCATCTTCTCCTGCACCTTCCTCAACTTGCTTCTTCTCTGCTTGACTCTTCCTCTTACGTTTCTTCTTTTTCGTCTTCTCTTCTTCTTCTTCAGTCTCTTTTTCTCTGCCAATTATACAATCTCTTTAGTAAAAGAATAGTACTTGAAATACCTTAGACCTGACACAACCCAACCCAACCCAACCTACATTTGACTGTAGTTGAGTAACTGATTTTGCATAGCAAACAACCCATACTCATACCATAATTTACCACCAACCCGGTGATATACATATGAAACCAAAAGATGTGTGCAGTTTTAAGAGGAAGATAAACATACTTGGAGTCACTTCCAGGTAACCAGGAGGAACTGAAAGCTGCAGCACCCTTCTCGTTCCTATCTGCTTCATCTTCTTCCTCATCGCTGCTTGGTGCGTTTTTCCCAAATACTGCTGAGTCCTCTCCCACAATAACACTGGATAAACCAAACACATTATTATTACCAGCAGTCAAAATAAACAACGTAGCTGAGGCCAAATACAAGAAAAGAAATTGCAAAGTGATCTTGTAGTAGAGGCATGTATGCAAACTCACTCTGATTCCACCAGTGATTCGTTTCTTTGCTTCGCTCTTTGGCGGATAATCACAGCATATCGTGATAGAGGGCTTTCCCCTGCCTTCTTAGCATCCTGAACAGAAAAGAACCCAAAAGAACAATCAGAACAAGCTACATCATAAAACCAAGTTAATCAAGAGAAACGAGTTACTAAACCTCAAGGAATGATGCAGCAGCAGGCTCATTGGGTTGAAAACCAACAGACGCTCTCTTTTTGTTGACAAACTCTGAGTTAGCTTCAATCTGACAAGAGAGAGTAGAGTATAATTCACATGAGTCATCAAAAACATATCAACATATAGCAAGTTACTAGATACATCAAGTATAAGTGGCTAATGAGTTCCTTCAAGGTACCTGGCTAATGAGTTGCTTCATTTCTTTTCTAAACCTCTCAGCTTTAGTGGATTTGTAAAAGCTACGTAGCCTCAAGGTCGGAATAGATGATAACTCAAAGAAAGCAACGGAATAGCTCCATTGAGTCAAATGCTCCACAAGTTCCTCCACTACAGAATAAACACATGCCTCCTGAAACGCTCTTGTCTTCACTGCCGGTTTACTTACCTAGAGACAGAAATTTAACAACAAAAATGGTTACTTTACAGCAAAAGAGTTCAAGACTCAGCCAAGTAAGTTTTTTTTTTTTAATACCTTGAGTAGTGTGCGTAAATCGACACCTTTGCCAACACCACCAGTGGGTGGTTTGTTGAGCTCTTTCATGTCTAACATGTCCATAAGAAGCATTGAGACGGGTATAAAGGTACCAGTTGAAGCAGCAATCCGGTTTAGCATACTAACGCATCTTAGTCTAAGTGGAATATAGCGAGCAGTCGGAACAAGTCTTGCTACACCAGATATTATTTGGGCTAGTGGATAAGCAACTGGTCTGAGTTCAGACTGGGAGCTGTAGCTACAAACAGCACCGGTCCAAAGCTCAAGACAATGCATGAACTTCCACTGATACACTTTTCTAAATGCTTCCTGTAAAAAACAACCAAAAGTAAATAAGAGTTAAAGAAACTTTTCAAAAAAAAATGAGAGTGTTGAGCAGAAGAATTCAGTTTGAGAAAGTACTTTTGTTTTTGTGTTGAGTGCTTCACGTAGAATCATTGCCAGCTGCCTTATGAAGACAAATGCATGCTGATATGAAGCAGAGATATCCGTGCCGAGAAGCTCAATGAAGCAGTTACCAAGAAACGAAATATGCTGCAGCTTAACAGCATTTACAAACTGGCAATTCAACACATACGCTTTGTACATCCCCTTGATGCAGTCATCCACACAATCCGTTCCAAGGCGTATGCACAAGTCCCTCAGAAACAGCAGAGAAACAACAGAGATGGCGCTACTGCCAGTTCCCCAGAAATGAAGTGCAACCTAAACGAAAAGAAGATTGAAGTGAGCAAAGAAAGAAAACATTCACATAATGATATTTATGCTCCAACACAGAACACACCTTAATATATTTCCTAAGGAGGCTTGGAAAGGCAGATAGAAAGACAGATGAGTGCTTCAAGCGACGGAGAGTAAACGATATCATCCCTTGGTCAGTCATCTGGTTCAGGACGTGAAGTGAGTTGCCAAGATATGATTTAACCAAGTGATTATAGTTTTTCCAAGGCCTTGTGTTTGTCAGCTCCATGATAGTATCTTTCATTCCTCCAGTTGCAGGAAGCCTTAACAGCTTTCTAAGAATCCCATCCATCTCACTCAGAACGAATATCATTATCTTATTGAACACAGCGCTGGACATAACGCTGAACTTTGCAGATGGGTCGTCTCCGGTATCATCACCGTAGTGACAAGCAGTTCTATAAGCTCTCAAGATAGAACGCACCGCACCTAGCTTCGCGTCTTCTCGGATTAACTTACACCATGAATCAACCATGGCTGCTGTAATCGTCTTCTGCTCGTTTACTTTCTTTGCAACTTCCAGCTTGGAGGTTTCATCAGCATCTTGCTTCTCAGTGTCTTCCAAGTCAGTTTCCACATCAACATCATCCTAACCAAAGATTTAAAGCTTTGAGCACAGATCACGTCAAAAACCAGTATATTCAATCTCTACTAGACTCACCTCAAACTCAGCAGCATCAAACTTGAGAAGATCCTCATCATGCTCTTTCATGTACTCAAAAAACTCAGCTTGCTGCAGAAAGAAACCAGACATGTTTATTACAAATCACAAGAATTAGATATGTTACTAGACAACTCACTGTATCTTGAAGCCTTTTAAGCTGTTCTTCATGCTCTTCAGCTTCTTGTTTCTTGGATTTCAACTTGTTCTTTCCACGTTTTTTCTCGCTCATATCATCCAGTGCTACTACATCCTCTGCTTTCTTGTTAGATTTCAACTTGTTCTTTCCACCCTTTTTATCGCTCATATTATCCACTGCTACTACATCCTCTGATTTTTTCTTAGACTTCAACTTGTTCTTTCCACCCTTTTTATCGCTCATCGGATCCATTGCTACATCATCTACATTCAATAAACAGTTAGTCAAATCTCAAATCCAACAAGAATCAAAATTTACAGAAAAATAAGTCACCTTTGGTACCCATTTCTTAATACACCACTCACGAAAGTAACCTGCAAAAAAGAAAAACAAAAAATCGAACTAACACATACAGTAAGCAAGCCTGTACACAGCACAATCTACTTTTTAACCGGTTTATGTAGTTCAAACCGAAAAAACCGATTACTATCGAATTGTCTAGCTTCCCAAAACTTAGAAGCAAAAGAAACAGAACCAATAATCATCCACGAACACGAACTAAACACCGACAAAATCGAGAACAACAACGGAACAAGCAAATAGAGGAACGTACAAGCGATTTAGATGTAGACGAAAAAGGAGAAGAGATAAAGGTTCTGCCTGTGTCCTCTGCCGAGACTACAAACTGCGCCTGAGGAGAAGAGGAGAAGAGGTTTAGGGTTTTATGTTGCGAGTTTTGAAACCTTCTTCTTTACCTGAAAGGTCTTAAATTTGACCTCTCGACTAGACTAGACGGTTTGACCAAAAAAATACAGTTTACCAAATTTATTTAGGATTTAACCGGTCATGGGTTTTGTGCCAAAAAAAAAAAAAAAAACCGGTCATGGGTTCTCTCAAAAGGTCTAACTAGGGCTGGGAAAAAAAATCGAACCCGAAAATCCGAACCGAATCCGATTCGATAAAAGGGATTCCGAACCGATCCGAACCCGACATAAATACCGAATTGATCTTGTTTTACGGTAATTCGGGTTATGGGTTTTATCCGAACCGAATCCGAACTTAAATTGATATCCGAAAGAACCCGAAACTTTAAAATTCCAAAAAACCCTGTATCATACACAATCTAAATTTCTAATATGTTTCCAAAACACCTTAATATGTTATTGTGTACCTACAATAATTAGTTATGATACGAATAATTAACTCAAACATTTAGTCTAATATATAGTGTTATTTGGTTAATATTAATGTTTATGATTATATTTGAAGTTAAGTTACAAATAAATTTGTTTTGAAGTTTTAACAGTACTTCTTACGTTTA